ACACCTCATAACGTGGATGAACTTGGAGAACATTATGCTGAGTGAAATAAGTCAATCACAAAAGAACAAATATTGCATTAGTCCATTATTGTAATAGTCAAGGAAATGTTTATCTATGGAAGACCATTTTCTTTGTTGGTTACCAGGGGTGGGAGGGGAGGGGAGGGAATACTGTTAGATACATAGAGATAAGTTTTGATTTGGATGAAGAAAAGGGCAATGTACCAAATGTGAGTGATCAATATAGTGGCACTGAGGAAGAGAAAGAAGACATAGAGAGGTAAGTGGGAAGTACAGACAACAAAGATAAATCCTTTTGCACATATAGTACGGCGTGGTGAGTGAAGGCAAACACGAGTACATGGGTGAATAGAATGGGTGGACAGGCTGAAATATTAGGTATGTATATGAAGTGGAGAGTGCACCCAAGAACATGTACAGGGTTGGCAGAAAGTGGTCCAATAACTTTATGTATAAGATCTGAATTCCCAGGTGTATAATGGGGCTGACAAGGGGCAAGGTTGTATTCACTGCTTGGTCACAGCTATCTACCCAGAGGGACCGAGTAGTTGAACCTGTGGGTTCGGGACCATAGTCACAGAGAACATCAAGCTCAATTGGTATAACATACTACACAAAACATTGTTCTACCTTCTACTGTGGCAAGTAGCAACTGAGATCTTAAAAGCTTGCAAGCTGCCATCTAGATGCAATGATGGATCTTCCTCGTCCAGAGCCAAGAAGAATGAAGAAAACCAAAAATTCATGGAAACAGTTAGTCCTAGCAACTAGTACACCATCTGATCTGCAGCCTATATGACTATGAGACCAGAATAAATAGATGGTGCTTGGCTACTACTGTCAATCACTTGGAAGAGGATCTTTGTAGGAGACAGGGGGAACAATGTGGAACAAAATTCAAAATCATTTGGGAAAAAAAAAAAAAGTGGGGAACAGGTTTGCTGGCCCAAGGGAGCCTGCTGGAACCACTGAGACTATGGCCCCTAGTTGCCCTTCAGGTCTGGAATTGAACCCACACCTGTGGCTTCCAGCCAAACAATAGACAGGCATATGAGTTGAACATTTACCTGAGGTAGATACACTCCTTGGAGAGAATAATCATGAGAGAAAGAATGGCTGTTTATGCACAGGGAGACAGTTCAGGGAGTAGGAGTGCATGGAGAGATGAACACAGAGAAAAGGTAACTATCGGGAGGAAGTGGGAGGGGAGCTGTTGCATTGTGGTAAATTGTGGTCAATGTCATGAGACAAAGTGTATGTGAACTGCTGTATGGAAAGTGTATTTGCTCTGTAAATTTTCACCCAAATCACAATAATAAAAAAAAAAAAAAAACATTCAGGTAGCTAACAAACACAATGACTTGTGATCACTAGCCATTAGAGAGATGCAAGTCAAAACAACAATGAGATATCATTAGCCCAGCACTAATACCAAAGTTCAAAAAAACAGAAAACAACAAATGTTGACAAAAGTGTGGAGCGACTGGAATCCTCATACACTGCTGGTGGGATTGTAAAATGGTGCGACTACCGTGGAAAATGGTGTGGTGCATCCTTAAAAAGCTGGAAATAGAAATACCATATGATCCAGCAATTCCACTACTAGGTATATATTCTAGGGAAATAAGAGCCATGACACAACAGATATACTCACACCCCAGTTCATTGCAGCACTAGTGACAATAGCAAAAAGATGGAAGAAACCTAAATGCCCATCAACACAGTAAGGCATTAACAAACGATGGTACATACACATAATGGAATACTACATTAAAGGACAAAGATGAATCTGCATAACATTGCATAACATGGATGACTTTAAAGCCGATTATGCTGAATGAAGTTAGTCAATCACAAAAGGACAAATATTATATGAGACCCCGATTGTAAAAGTCAAGAAAAGGGTTCCACAAAAAAGGAAATATTCTTTGATGGTTACTAGGGGTGGGTGGGGAAGGGAGGGTAAAGAAAACAAACAAAAAAACACCATCAATGTCCATAGAAGCAGCAGTCAAGCAATCAAATAATGTACTGTATTGGACAAATCTGCTGCAAAAGACCTCTTTAAAGTTTTAAAAGCCATGATATCACTTTGATGACTAAGATGTGCCTCACCCAAGCCATGGTCTTGACAGTCACCTAATACGCATGTAAAAGGTGGGCAATGAAAAAGAAAGAAAATAATTAATGCATTCCAAGTATGATATTGGCAAAGAATATTGAATATACCATGGATTTGCTAGAACAAATTGGTTTTGGAAGAAATATAACCAGAATGCTCCTTAGAAGCAAGGATGTTGAGGCATCAGTTCACTTACTTTCCAGATGTCATCATGAGAGACCAATTCCTAGAATAGGATATCATGATTTGTAAATTAGTGTGTCAGAGAAAACAAGGAAATCCTTCAATGAAATGGATTGACAGAATAGGTACAACAGTAGACTCAAACAAACCAATGATTATGAAGATAGCACAGGACCAGACTACGTTTTGTCTTGTTATACATAAGTCAGAGCCTACTCATCGGCAACTAACAACAATAACAGTTCTTTAGGGAAAGGACAAAAGTGTACCATAAGGAACTAAAAGCTGAAACCACCAAATATGATATTGTAGAAAATATTTTCATATACATGTGTGCATACACACACGTTTGAAAGAATATACATTAAATTGTTAAGAATAGTTATTGCTGGACCCCTAATTTCTTCTTTTTGCTTGTCCATATTTTATCAGTTTCCTGTAATTAATGTGTATTATATTAATATAAAAATAACATTAGCTTTTAAAGATTCAACTAAATGAATAAGACTGCTTACAAAGAGCCTCTTTTACCTGCCAGGAATTTTTGATTCTCTGAAATAATTCAAATTACTGAGAAATTATCAGTTTACTATAAAAATTTGTCTAGGCCTGAGACCTATTAGGGGGATATCTTCTGGGAAAAATGTTTCTCTTTCTACGATATTTATAGATTAATAAACATTTAATTGGGACAATATTAGTTATAAATGTGTGTTGGTAGTAACATATACCAATATATTCAAAATAGAATATAGTATTCATTTATCATTTCAATTACTACTGAATCTGTGATTATTTAATTTCTTATGCCTTATCATTTGTATTTTTGCTTTATTTCTCTTTTTCTTGATGAATACTGCCAGAGGTGGTATATTTAACCCTCAAAGATGTTATTTAATAACCATGAGGAAAAAAAATAATCCAACAGTAGATAAATAATAATCTATAATAACATAGATTATCCATTCAGAATCACAAATATATAAACCATATGTATTACTATGTGGGTATTTTAACATGAAATAATTACTGTGGGCAGACCCAAATTACATACACAGAAATACAAATATATAAAAATATGTCTGATTATTAGTAAATATTAGAAGGAAATAACAGTATTGTAATTAGTCATAGCTTAGGAAGTCACTTCATTCTTCATGTTTATTATTTAAATTCATAGTAAAATAATTCATTGTTGTTGTTGTTGTTATGTGCCATCGTGTTAGACCTGACTCATAGCGACCCCTCCTTGGATTTCCAGGGCAGTATAATTCATAGTAAAAAAAAAATTAAGCTGTTGTTTAATATACTTTCCCTTTTTCCAGGCATATCTTGTGAGCCACCTCTACACATAAACCATGGATTCTTCCACAGCAGCACTAGAAAACTTTTTCAGTATGGAACACTGGTAACTTATTATTGTCATACTGGGCAATATGGAGAAAAGCTGTTTGACCTTGTGGGAGAACCATCAATATACTGTACTACCAAAGATGATCAACTTGGTGTTTGGAGCAGCCCCCCTCCTCAGTGTATTTCTCCACATAAATGCACAACTCCAGAAGTTGAAAATGGAATTCAAGAATCAGAAAATAGGAGTTTTCTTTCCTTAAATGATATTGTAAGGTTTAGATGTCAGCCTGGCTATGTCATGAATGGGTCCAGCACTGTACAATGCCAGGCCAACAATACTTGGGTGCCTGAGTTGCCAAGCTGCTCCAGAGGTGAGTGATCACTTGCGACTTTGCCTAGGGGTGGTGATGAATGACCAGACTTGTAGAAATTAAGGATGAAGTATGTGTGTGTGTGTGTGCATGTGTGCATGCATGAGTGTATGTTTGAGAGTAAAACCACTGCCATTGAGTTGATTCTAATGCATATCGAGCCTATAAGACAGAGAAGAACTGCCCCCATAGGGTTTCCAAGGCTGTAAATATTTATGGAAGCAGACTGCCCTATCTTTCTCCCACAGAGCAGCTGCTGGGTTCAAACTGCTGACCTTTTGGTTAGCAGCTGAATGTCTTAACCACTGCACTACTAGAGCTCCTTTGTTTGAGTAGTCACAATGAAATTGATATAAATACTCTAAACATAGTATCAGCTCCACTATTTGTTATCTCTAATAATAATAGTCAAAAAGCAATGGTTTACTCTGTCTCTCATCTGTGATAAGTATCTTTTATAGGAATTAACTTTTTATAACAAATATTTAAGGTAGGAATGATTCTAACACCCATTTTATAGTAAGAAAACTGAATCTTAGAAATGTTAAATAACTTTTCCAGTGCCACAGAGCTAATAACTAACAGCACAATGCCTGGAATTCAAGAGCCTTTCTTACTTCAGAGCCTAATGATAATGTACAGTGATATGCACGGTGCATAATAATGTATAATGATAATGACAATGGGTCGATCACTGAAGGAAGTCAGCAGGAAAATGAGCCATGGGGACTGAAATCAGATTAAATCGTATTAGTGTCATAAATCATATTAGAAAGGCTGTAGGCCTTAATCATTCTGTTCCAACTTCCCATCTTGTTACTGAAAAACCTAAGGTCCAGAAAGAAAAAATTAAATGACTTGCAAAAATCCAGAAAAATTTTTTTTTTTGTTTTTCTTCCATTCAGATTGAGGTTCAGATTGAGGCTTAAATGTGTTCTGATGCCCTGAGCACATACCAATTGGGCTGTGGATGGAGGTGGCCAAAATCTGAGTCAAAATATGTTCCAAGTAATGTGTTGTTTCATTAAACACTCAGTTGTTCTCAATTGCTTGTCTTGTCTTCTGATGCTGAAGTTGATGGCACAGCATCAGACTGGGAAGAATCTGGGCTGAGAAAGAAAGAGAGGCAGCTTATAATTCAGCCTCCTAGTAACTAACTGAAAAAGGAGCTGGGAGGAACAAAGGAAGGAGGACACAATAACGACTGGTCAATAACCTAGGTGAGGGGGTCTGTTAGGTGAGACTTGGACAGACTTATCCCCTTGTTGTTGTCCAAAAGATGATGCTTGAAAATCTGACTTTTTGGAAGTGTAGGGGTGGGAGACGAGACATTGGCACTCAGCTCTGTGCTGGATGGTCAGTACTTGAGAGCAGAAGGAGCTTTCTCCTTTATAGTTTTAGGAACGTATCTTAGGAGAAAAGACACAGCATGGTTTTGGAGAGAATTTGGTTCTAATCACATCTCTATTTATTAGCAGAAGGACTTTTGAATGAGCTACTTTCCTTCTGAATCCTTAGTTTGATCGTCAGGAAAATAGGGATATTGAACTACTAGACAGTGATTTTTATTTTCTTTTAACATCTGCTCTTCTGTAATGCAACGGGGAGCTCTGGTAGCATAGTGCCTAAGGCACTTGACTGCTAACCAGAAGGCTGGCGGTTCAAACCCACCAGCCACTCCTTCGGAAGGAAGATGGGGCAATCTATTTCCATGGTGATACTGCCTCAGTAACCCAAGGAGGGGTCGCTATGAGTCGAGTCCAACTTGATGGCACATAACAACAACAACAACAACAACTTCTATAATGGGAAGAGCTCTGGTGGCTCTGTGGTGAAAAATTGGATTGCTGACCAAAAGGCTGGATCTTCAAACCTACTCACCACTCCACAGGAGAAAGATAAGGCAGTGATTTACAGCCTTGGAAACCCTATGGGGCAGTCTTTGTCCTATAGGATCACTATGAGTTGGAATCAACTCAATGGCAGTAGGTTTGGTTTTTTCCTTCTGTAATGATGATGTTAGGAGCTCTAGTAGCATAGTGCCTAAGGCATTTGACTGCTAACCAGAAGGCTAGCAGTTTAAACCCACCAGCCACTCCTCCGAAGGAAGGTTGGGCAATCTATACTGCCTCAGAAACCCAAGGAGGGGTTGCTATGAGTCAGGTTCAATTGGGCAGCAGTGAGTTGGGTCTTTTTTGTTTGTTTGTTTGGTTGGTTTTATGATGCTGTTTAAGCTCCCTAGCAGGCATAGAGGAGAACAAAAGATATTTCCTCATAATTAATGAGTACTTTGGGCTTGTTCTTTCCACAGTGTGTCAGCTGCCTCCAGAAATTCCGCATGGTAAATATTCCCCACGTAACAAGGGCAGCTTTTTCCCTGGGGAAGATGTGTTCTACAGCTGTGAGCCTGCCTATGATCTCAGAGGACCTGCTTCTCTGCGTTGTACACCCCAGGGAGACTGGAGCCCTGCAGCCCCCAGGTGCAAAGGTACCTACACTCTCATCTCATTCACAGATCAAGATCTTTATTGGTCACATGACAGTCATATTCCTTTTTTTTTTTTTTTTTCCTAGTGAAATCATGTGATGACTTCCTGGAACAACTCCCTAATGGCTTGGTACTCTCTCCCACTACTCTCCAGCTAGGAGCAAAAGTGTCCTTCATTTGTGATGAAGGGTGAGTGTGGCCTGGAATAGAAGCCAGGGACTGAATGAAGGATAGCAATTCTTGAGGTTGGGAGTTAACCCAAAAGGAGGACATGACCTAAAGGAAAAGAAGTGACTAGAGAGATGAACTTCTGGAAGAATCATTTTGAAATAAGGGTAAAGATTCAGTGGCACCTCTATCAAGAAGTAAAGAGAAAATGGCACATATAACTCAATGTCAAATTCTGACCTTGCCTGGTTGGAATCTGAACAGATAAATAATTTGTTGGAGGAAAAAAAAAAGTAATTTTATGGAAGGTTTGTTAGGAAAAAAGTTTGATGTTGCAAAAAGGGTGCAGGCGCAGCATCATCTGAACTCCTCTAATTTCACAAGGGGGAAGAAGGGCCAAGGTCAACAACCTAAGGCTTCCTGTAAAGCAGAGGTCAGACATGCTACCACCCTCCAAGCTTCTTGCCAATTCTGACACCAACCATCCCTCCCACAGCACTCTCTACTTCCCTACTGGGTTCAATGAGCCATTGCAATGACCACACAGAACTCACAGACAATACTCATGGTTATGGGTTTTTCAGGCAAGTAACAGGTTACAATTCAGGATCAGAAACAACTCAGGGTACAGTTCTTCAATCAGGACAGCCTCTTCTCAGCCATGCTGCCGGCATGCTTCTCTCTGGCCTTGACCTCTTGGTCCTGCAGCCTCTTGGCCCCTGCCCTCCTTGGGCAAGTGTTACAAAGCTCTTTTAGCTTTGCAAATAGGTACTCGGAGAGGCACCCCACTCCTGCCTGAAGGCACTCAGCTTTCTCACAGCGTGGACCAAGAACCCCACAGCTCTGTCTTGTACCAGTCTCTTGGTTCTGCTGCCTATACTGTCGCCATTTCTCTGCTACTGCTTTTTATAGTCTCTCACTATCTCCAGGGTCACTCTCTCTCTTTTTTTTTTTTTTTT